TGGAGAGGAAAATGTCTCTCTAGGTGCTTCTAACCAGCTTGAGCTGGTCAGAACAACACAAATTGTACAGTAGAAACACCTGCTTCTTTCTGTTAACTCTAAGACTACTTGAGACATAAAATCTTGTCACACAGCACAAAAAATTGCCAAAATGAGCCCAGATGCAAATACAGTTTGGCCTGCCTATGATGTTTCTAGTCCTCGTGACAGCTTCAAAAGGACTGCTCTATGTTGAAATAAGTTATAGGCAAATTGCTATGTGATCTGCTTGTAAAATTTTGAAGAGTTAGTGAACAGGATACATGATGAGCACCTATGGAAAAAATATAAAAGTTCTCAGATGTATCTGCACTATATTGGCTTCAAATGAGAGCAGATACATGGTAAAATCTCGAAGTAAGTGAAATATTAAAAGAAGTAAAAAATTATCAAACAAAGCAGTCTGTGATGTTCATCCAAGAAACATTAGGTTCATGGTCTAACATAGTCATAAATTACTTCTTCTTTACTGGACAAAAATATGCCTTGTTTTTGGAATATTGTCTTAATACACAAAAATAATTAGATTAGAAAAATATGAGTGTTAAACACGTGATTTCCAGTAACAAGAACATTTATTTACTAGAATAGCATTTTGTTGTGACAGTGGCTAAAGAGCAGTGCCATTTGGTCATCTGGAACTTATAACAATCTAATTAGGATTTTAGGCAGAACACGGCAAAGATTTTCCATCTAATGGGCTGTAAAATGATGTAAAATGATAACAAGGATGATTCTAAAAAACTGAAGAACCAAATTCCAATCCTTTTGTGGCTGATTTACAGTCTTGAAGTCTGGACTGCCACCTGCTGAAACACTGTTTAATAGGAAGCTTAGGCTTAATAAGACAACATTTTCATTACTAAACCTTGTCTTTTACTTAATTTCTTTTTTCTGACCCTTGGTGTTCTCTTTGCCATGGGTAGTATTGTTGTAACTATGAGTACATTTGAGACTTTGTCCCTCTCTGCCCCTGGATTCTCCAGGTCAATGTTAGCCTCTCTTCTGGTCATCCCCTGTGATTTCAGCAGGTTTTTTTTTCCCTGCAATGAGCCTCTTAGGATTGTACAGTTGGTCTCAACTACTGGAATTAGACAATATAGACTCAGCCATTGTCCTATTGCCATACAACAATACAGATTCAACAACTATCAAGCAAGTCAGAGTCTCTTTAAGTTTACAGGCTCACAATATGGGCAAAAGCAGCAAGGTGAAGATGTACTGGTTTGTCATCTTTGTTGAGCAAGGGAGATTGACGTAAAAAGATATGACATCTCTGCAACATCTTCCATAGAAAGAGGACAGAAGAAGACATGCAGGCTTCATAAACACCAAGGTCTGAAACAGAAGATGCTGCAGGGAAATCAGTGGGTTGCATAGGATCAGTGGAGATTAGCATTCATGAAGTGCTCTGAACACAGACAACATTTCAGGTGCTAAGGGAGGATTGCTGAGATGTGATTCGATTAACTTGCAATCAGTGTTTATCCTTCAGAAATTGTGTGGTAGGATAGCTGACCCTTCCAGGATGGATTACAGCTGTGTCCCAACACAGGCTTTTCATCCCTGCACAGCCCAGAGTATTGTAAGAAGGAACAGAAGTCTGGCTTTGAGGACTGTATGGTTTTGGGGACTGCAGTTCCTGCTCAGCAGTTGCACCTCTGAGGCATTCTTCTGGGCTGCATTCACATACTTTGTGCAACTGGGGTTTCAGACCATGCCCCTGCTGGGATTCACGCTCAAAATTATTGATGGTGACTTGTGATCTGCAGTCTCACCCTCCCACCTTGTTTTTACTGGTATTATGTCCTACATGATCTATTGCTTCCATGGGTGGGCTCTTGCTTGGAGCAGTGGGACTTGCAGCGTGGGCTGTGCTGCACAGAGTGGTGAAGCAAGCAGCACCTCTTGTCCTTTAATGCCAACATTTGTGGGTATTTTTAATGAGCAAGGAATAGCTTTTCCATCTCTGTGAGACTCCTTTTCTTGCACATCAAATACATGGGTGCGATCACCTGAACATCACCTGCATTGAATTTCACTGGGAAAGAATGCAGGGATGAGAGCTCTATCCCCTTGCTTTATGGAGCACTGGTACCCTCTAGTGGTAAAACCGCAGGCGGTTTTAAGCAAAAGATGATGATTTCGATACTTTCTCTTCCTCTCAAGCAAAAATCAGTACATCATCTTTAATTGACAGTGCTGGTCTGATGAATGTTGCTGTAAAGTTACACCTTTAGCTTAAGGAGCTGATGATGTAATTTTCTAGGACTGTTTCCAAGGTGTTTTGCCTTTCATTAAATCATTTACATTATACTTGTGAGTTGAGGGGTGACCAAATTTTCACATGGTATAAAGAAATAGCTGTAACAGAAAGCATCAAATATCAGTACGTCAGCGCTTTAAATGGAAAATTAGTGAAGGTACCACTGTAATAGTTCATAGGTGGTTTATAGCTAATGGAAGGAATCATGTTGTCTGGCTTGGGTTCTCATCAGTTTGCTCATTAGACATGCAGGGCAGCTGGATTGTGCGTCTTGAGAAGCCAGGGGCTCACTGGCTTCATAATTGCAAGGTGGGGACAGCAAGGTATGGTGTGACAAATCAGGCTTGAGGACATGGCAGGAATGTCACAGAATCACTAACTGTCAAATGCATTTAGCAGCAGGAGTGTGGTTATAATGCATAGATGGGAAAAGACAAATTCTCGACCCAAAAGCTGGTTCCTACCAACCACATAACCCTTGCTATGGAGCATGGCTGCTGAGTGGGAGACGGTCAAACTTGGGAAAGAAATCCAGAATTATTTAGCATGAGGAAACATATTTGTTTCTATTGTAACCTTACTCTGAATGGCTGATCTGAAATTTTCTTGGCATAGGGAGCTGCAGTCTGACTAACTAATGCTAGGAAAACCACAGCAAAGGAAACCTTCAGGGTTTACTGTGAAGTGCCTCACTGTTGCCTGTTCCTTGCACGGTTGGCATTTGAAACTGTTTGGAGGAAATCCCTTCTCAAAAGGCATCAGGTGCTGTCTGGATCTCATCTCTCTCCTTTTACTCCAGCTGCAAAAATGTTGCAAGTTCTCAGAACATGCTCCCTTGGCCTTAGGTTTCCGTATACAGGAGGGAAACAAAATCCCAAGATGAGTTAGAGGACACGTTTCTGAGCTGAGCACCCTTCCCCATGGTCCTTGCTTGCTGCCTACACACACTGCAGGCTGTGGACTCTGCTTATTTTGCCCAGTGAAATGAAGCAGAGTTTTATTCAGCAAGAAATGAAATTACACTTTAGGTATCAGATTGAAATTCAAAATAGGTAGTACACACTAAACGCAGTTTGATTCTTAACAAGCTTTTTTTTTCCCTGGAAGATTTCAGTACCTGGTGCCTATCATTTCTTTGATGTACCCTGGCTATGAAACCAAGGGGTCCAGAGCCTTTATGGAGCTGTCCTTCCAATTTATTCACTAAGGTCTGAAGTATTTCCATGACCATCTGCCCCTCTGCTCCTGTGGATCAGGTTTTGGGAGCATGTTAAAATGCCCATGATTTGGGTACATGAAGTATTAAGAGTATGAGCTTCACCCACTCTGCTTTGTAGTAATCACTTAGGAGACTGCCTTGATTTTTCTTACTTCTTAATGTATAAAAGATTTTGAATAGCTTGAACCTGGGAATAGTTCGACAAAGCAGATCAGTGTGACTTCAGACAGGACTAAATTGGATTTACCAGCAGTGGGAGTCAAATTTTCTGTGAGATCTCTGTGTTCTGGACTCTCATATAGTGACAATAGCACAGGGGTAGTAATTTATCACACACTCACTGCGTTTATTGGAGAGAAGAACTTTACCTTCTGTATCGTTTCTCTTTCAAAACTCTTTATCTTTTCATCTGCATAGAAATGAGTGCAGAAAGGGAAAGAAAAAATAAATGCAGTGCAGTTTTCAAGAGAGGGTTTGTCTTGGTGCTGCATTGCATTGAAGCATTCGCTGTTTCTCTGGTCTCAGGATGTGTCAAGTCGATTCATTCCACTGTAACTGCAGTGCCATTTTGTGAAGTACACAGCACATCACTTGGGAATAGACCTCCAGAGCATTACAGTCCTCTGTCATACCATACAATCCCTTCCCAAAATGCAGTATCATCCATTTCTTTCTGAATAATGCAGATAAGTTAATTAATGCATGCGTGTCCTAGAACCATTCTGATTTAGGATCTTGCCGTGATTTCTTGACTGCCAGAAACCACTGTCCAGGTGGAGAACTCTTCACCTTCTTGAGACCCCACCTCAGTGCTCACCAATGGGAAGTAGCCATCCCCTGAAGGTCTCCACCCAGGTTTTTACAGACTGCATCTCCAATGCAAATACAGAGAGGAGTGACAAAGCTGTTGTTTTCCCTCTTATTTCTTTCCAGGTTTCTGATTGTCTTGGGCTGTTTGATCTTAGCTGTCCTAACAACTTTCAAGGAGTATGAAACTGTTTCAGGAGACTGGCTTCTCTTGCTGGTAAGTAGACTGAATGCTGTATCACCCTGGTAACGTCCTTGAGTTGAAATCAACCCCATCAGGAGTGATGGAATCTTGTTCCCACCTCTGCATGCAATCAGATTTCTTCTGTTGGTTCTGCAGCAGTGACTGCACACTTACATGGTGGAGAATTCCCAGTCCATTGATAACACCAAGTAAAAGGGAAGTAAGGAGAGTGGAAAAACACTCGTTTTTGATTAAGTAATAGCTTTTCAGCATTTGCCTAAACAGTTCTCCCATTGAAGTGTCAATACATTTTCTATTGACCACACCAGACCTGAGCACCTTTGAAAACTTTTTTTTTTTTTTTTCCCCCATCTTTCAACAATTTTGATTCATTCTACAGTATTCTACCAATTCTAGCATCTCTGTCTGTGCTCTTCCATCAAGGCAGGGTAAGCACTTCACCTTTATCCAACAGCAGGGACACATCCTTTCAGCAGAGCAGCTAGGTCCTACTTTGCCTCTTTCATCAACCTGTATTTTCCTCCCCACTTTTTTCCCCTCTCTCTCTCACACACATACCCCAATACCTCATCTGTTTCCTTCAACTGTATCCTTGTGTCCAGAATTACTGCAAGACTTGTTATGAGTCTGACAATGTAGTTTATTTCTTTGATACAGGAAACTTTTGCCATTTTCATCTTTGGAGCAGAGTTTGCCTTAAGAATCTGGGCTGCTGGGTGTTGCTGTCGCTACAAAGGATGGAGAGGGAGACTCAAATTTGCCAGGAAGCCTTTGTGCATGCTGGGTAAGCACATGCTCTCTACTGCTGTTTTAGCTGTTATGTCTTTTTCCTCTAAGCCTTGTTGAGGGGACTTCCAAGAATCAGTGAGTGTCAGTGCAAAGAGCACTGAAATCAGATCTGCCCTTTGTACTAGTATCTGTGTCCTATTTGGAACAGTGATTTGAAGTACTCAGCAATAATAATTAATTCTAGAGACTCTTGAGTGTCTAATCAATGAGGAAAAAAATATTTCTACTCTTTTAATAATTTTTTCTTGTCCTGAGTTCCACTGCATTTTTTCTTAGGCTCATCCCAAAATATACTCTGTCTTCAGTTTCAAACTACTTCAGATCCCAACACTGCCATTTTCTCCAGCTCTCTCTTATGTTCAAATGTTGTGTTTTGCTTTTTTAATGTTGATCTGAATTTGCCAGCAAGTATCTTTGTGATTTCACCCATGTTATTTCTCAGGCTTCGAAGATGTTGCCTACAACTACCATAAAACCACTAATTATTCATGTTTGAATCACCCAATCATGTCCACAAACCAACTAAACAACATTTAGGAGCTCAGTCTGCCCTGAGCACCTGTCATGCACATCCACTTTTATTCCCTGTTTCCCAGGAGTACCTCATTCATTTTGATGCTCTTCTGGCCAAGATTTTTGCTCTTTATTTGTACAGCACACAGCACTCTGAGGAGCTGTGCTGCTGCAGTTCTATGAATACATTCTGCCTTCCCTCTCCCTCCTTTTGTTCATCTTCTCCGTCTAAATGGTAGACAAAGTGGAGCAAATTTTCTTCATGTGTCTGTGTTGTCTTCAATTAGTACTGCTCCTTTGGGTGCTGCTGTTGTATATATACTTCTTATACTTCTGATAGCACTGTGAAGCCAGCAGAGCATGGTGTGAGCAAGTGGGACTGCTACTGTCTCATGCCTTCACTGCAGAAGTGTCATCTCACTTCTAAGAATGAATCTTCATTCATATCTGGGTAAAGAACAGAAAACATCCCACTTGATTTATTAATATCATTTCTTGGTTGTCACCAGCACAAGTTTGTTTTGAGAATGATTGAAAGTGAATAAAACTGAAATCCATAGAGTGTCACTTTTTTTTTTTTTTTTTGATAGAAATACAATCTGAAGGTAATTCAAAGACTGAGTGCCCAGAGAATGTATGAAGCCTTTTGGTGTCTCTTTTTTCTGGTATATACATATTTATAGGCTCAAAAAGGAGGGGGTGGAGGGTAGGATGGGGAAGGGAAGAAGGAAAAGAAATAAAAAGAAATAAAACAAGAGGAAGCAATGGGATTTGCATTTCAAACCTCTTCAGTTGATCAGCACATTGGCTCTGTTGAGCACTTACAAAAAACAGAACTGGCTTTGAAATTTTAATGGCAAAACACAGCCAAAAGGACAAAATACAAGATACACTATCAAAACCTGAACTTATCTGCTGACCTGTAGACTGAGATGTTCCCATGGGACAGATGAATTTAAGGTTGTTTTTTCCTGTCAGCACTCAGACACTGTTTCTGTGTGTACTTGAGCTAGCTCAGACAGTGTCTCAAGTCCAGTGCATTAAACTGTAAATAGATTATGAGGCTTTCTGGTGGGTTCTGTGCATGATGCTGACTGTGTGGCAGGTGCAGATATCTGTTGAATTGGCAAGAGAAAACATTTTCAGGCAGCTTTAAAATTTGCCTCGGGAAATTTGCAGCACAACCAGATGGGATTAAGAAGAAGGTGATGGGGCTGCTTTTGTTGGCAGACTTTTGTTCTTTTCTCTCTGCAGATATCTTTGTGCTGATTGCTTCAGTGCCAGTGGTTGCTGTTGGGAACCAGGGCAATGTTCTGGCCACATCTCTCAGAAGCCTTCGCTTCCTTCAGATTCTACGGATGCTCCGAATGGACAGGCGGGGCGGTACCTGGAAACTTTTGGGATCGGCCATTTGTGCACATAGCAAAGTAAATGAGGAGCTTGCAGGGCTTAGCTGGGCCTTGGGGGAGAGAAGTTAAAGAGGGGATGCACAAGTACAGCACTGCCTTGGGATTATGTGTAGTAGTCCAAGCAATATTTTTGTCCCTTCAGCTTTATTCCCTCTTCCATTCTCTGAACCATTTATACCTCTTGTTTTACCCTTCTCTGCTCAATAGTGGGGCTGAGAAGTGACAAGAGAGAGTGTTGATTCTCACACATTCTTACACTCATTGCAACAGAAGTTTTGCTTTTGCACTGAATGTGAGCAGGGACATCCCTTTAATGGTGAAGTATGCTGAAATCTTTGACAGACATGCAACATGTTTGTAGTGGCTTCTCAGCTTGTCTGATCAACAGATGGAGCAGGACTATGGAGGGATGGAAAGAGACTGGTTAGCAGAAGTGTGGTTTCAGAAGGAGCTGCCAGTATAATTTCTCCTTGGAAGCATGGGTCAAGCAATACAGAGATGCACATAGTGTGAACAGACAAACAACATTTCTAAGATCATCTTTGTTCAGTCTAACTTGATGTTATAGTCAGACACATCCTGTCTCACAACAGACTGATACATTGTGGTCTTGCATTTCCACCAAACACTATTACAAGTTTTAAAAAAAATCTGCATAAAAATCCTCTAGATGAGATTTCTCATTTGCATAGGGTGGAGAAAAAATGCATATGCACTGTGCTACATACTGCTTTTTCTTATCCATGAATGACATTCCTGACATTTTAGGGATTTTTTGAAAATTAAAATGCCAGCTGGCACAACATAATTAGACATTGCTTCTTTTTAGGGGCTGGTAGGGATAACCACCCTGCTTCATTTCATACCAACTTCTGTTTCTTCCCCATGTAAACTTGCTACAAGACAGGTGGCACATAAATACATGTAAAAATGTTTCTTAGGAAACTGAGATTATGAAAGAAGTCTTTTCACCAAAGACATCATTGTTTCAAAATTGTTTAAGGCTTTATTGTGTGGGAATTTATTGAAATGTTCCTATGTGATTCCCAACCACCACCCTTTGGACTCAGCTGGCTGTTGAATATAAGAAGTGGTTACAAGAATTTTGCTTCACTGGAGACACTAATGAAACAATTTTTATCATAAACTTAGCCATCAAAATTCCTTCTGTGGTTGCACACTAGAAATAAGTCAAGAAAATTGGCTTGTCTCAATGCTCAATTATTAAATTCTCAGCTACGACTTTTTATTTTTATTATTTCAAATGCAGTTCTCAGAAAACAAAAGAAATACTGATTTATTTATTTATTGCCCACTTGTGATGACCTTCACAAAAAAAAAAAGGTTTCTGGGATTTGAACTTGTGTTGCTGCATCTCCCACCTCAGTGGGATCAGCCACACACTCCACTCTTGTCACTCTCTCTAAAACAAGGAAGCTCAGGTTTGTTTGCACACAGACAATTTTCAAGGTCTGTTCTTATTGCATCAACTGATGGTGAAATCATACCTCAGAGCCTGCTTTGATATGCCTAAAGAGAAGAAACTGCATCCTGCTTCAGCCTTGACTCTCTGAGGTCAGGAAGTGGAGAGGGCTGTTGGTTTGCCTGCCGAGACTGACCAAGCCCATGGGCAGCAGGATTTTTAGGTCAGGGACAGAGCCCTGCAGCACCAGTGCCATGTGTAGCTAAGCCTGTAACCCAGCTTTATGCAGAACTACAACTGCAGATTGCTCCAAGATGTTCCCAAGGAAGATGCCATATAAGAGCTAATTCCTATAAATCTCTGCATTATTTCCCACTAAGTGCTGAGGTGGGCTGGTGACCAAGCCTGCAGTGACAGCTCTGCTGTTACCCTCAGTACTTCTCACTTCACTTGATGCCTACCCTGACGCTGTGGGTATTGAGACTGTTTTCAGCCCCTCCATTGTCCGTTTGTTTTATTTGCAGGAACTGATCACTGCTTGGTACATTGGGTTCCTGACACTCATCCTATCCTCGTTTCTTGTTTATCTGGTTGAAAAAGATGTTCCTGAGAAGGATGCTAACGGGGTGGAGATGAAGGAAGAGTTTGAAACTTATGCAGATGCACTGTGGTGGGGGCTGGTAAGTCACTATAAAAAGACCTTGCCTCTTTCTTAAAAATGTATATCCAAGTAGATATAAAGTACTGATGCTAAGGATTACAGTATAAGTGCTGCTAGATTTGGGTGAGGAGCATATTGCTGCCGAAACCTGGCCAAGGTAGGGATGCTTCTACAACAAAACTGATATCCCTGTTGATTTTCAGTCAAAGGCCCTTAGGTGCTTAACCCTTTCAGAAATAAGTCTGTGCTCATGGCTTCTGGGAAACCTCTCTGTTAGAGGAGTGTTTCTTTGGGTGTCACTGCACTGCCTACGCCTATGGGAGACCTAGTGCATGGCATAGTGCCTGTCAGTGCTACATCCCTCAGAAAATGGCAAAACCAGAGCTGACAGAACTGGGAGATACTGTTGACTCTTGAGGGCCAAGACACTTTGCAGAGGACGTAGATAGATTAGAGCATTGGGCAATTATTAATTGGATGAAATTTATCAAGTCCAGAATATCTCTGGAAAAGATAACTCAACACTTCTTTTGTGTCTTATTTGCGTTCCCCAAGAGTCACTCAGGAAATGCTGTTGGTGGTAGAATACTGAGCAAGTTCTTGTCTCTTCTAATGAAGAGGAGAGCATTGGTTTGCATCACTGATCATTTGATCACAAAATGATCTTGCCACCTGGTAGAGGGAATTCACATTGCTTTGCTGCCAATAATTAGGGGAGTCTATATCATGCTGTGACTAAAATTCAACAGCACATTTTTTTTATTTTCTGTGGTTCACTCATAAAAGGCAAGATCCCTTACCAACAAAATTAATCAAAATATGCCAAGTGTTGCATACGACTCCTGGATATTTTCATATCCTTACATATCCAGGACATTTCGGTAAAGTCACACTAGTAAGAAAAGGTACACAGCTGGCAATTAGCAACTGTGCTGGAAAGGAGCAAGTTTTCACAGTCTGCCTTTTTTTTTTTTTACAGAAACTGAAACTTCAGGGAGAGGTAGCCATGGTTGTTAAAGCTCTGCAAGCTGTAAACTGTCAAGTCCCATTCCTAACTATGCACTGATGGTGGGCAGGAGACTCACTCTGTGCTAATCCTACAGAGGCAGCTACTTTAAGACTAAATCCATTCTCCCTGGTGCAGTGCCTCTGGGCTATGATGCCATAATAAAAAATAAAATAAAATAAACTTTAAAAAAAACCTTAAAAAATTAGTTTGACCATCATCAAATTCCTATTTTAAGAAGCTGTGCATGAGCACCCATAGAGCTAAGTGAGTTATGTAGTTTTCCTGGTGACAGTGCTGTTTGCTTTGTTTTTCTGATGGGAAGTCCTGATGACTCTACCCACAGATCACCCTCGCTACCATTGGGTATGGTGACAAGACCCCCAAAACATGGGAGGGACGACTGATTGCAGCCACATTCTCTCTCATTGGAGTCTCCTTCTTTGCTCTTCCTGCAGTAAGTACCTTCCCCCTCTGTTAGGCACAGCCTAGCCCTGTGCACTTACAAAAAGAAGATAAAGTGATCAAAATTGTCACTGGAATCAAAATCCCTTTTAAGGAAGTGATACAGACACTTGAGCTGGTCTATATCAGTAAATCAAACTGGTTTCTCCCCCTCTGTGCACAGAGCTTGTTTGTAATAGTATGTTACCCCTTTATTCCTTGAACCATGTATCTGAGACACTGCTCATTGGCACAAGACAAAATTAATCCAGCAAGTGAACAGCCTTAGAAATACCAAGGCAGTTCATGAACCTGTACCTTGGCCCAGGTTAGTTTAGAGGTATTGACATAGTCACTCAAGATGTATTTTCAAAGTATATGGAGACTCTTGTTTTAATAATTGTGGTTGGACCCTTCTTACCTAAACACTTGCAAGCTAGAGATCTACATCTGAGTGGTCATCACAGACCAGTGGTCGTCTTTTGTAATCAGTGCAGCTCTGCGGAGCATTTTGTCTCACTTGTTCCTTCCCAGAGAGCTCTGACACCACCACAGACGTGCTGTTTCTACTCACAAAGATTAAAGGGAATTTAGTTATCAGGTGACAGTACAAGTATTTTTTATCTAGCCAGGTAAATCCTACTCTGGCTGCTTAAGAAATTATCTCTAAATTGCTTTTGAAAGTAAATTTATCCTCTTGTGTTACATAGGCCAAGTATTTGCTTTGTCTGCAAACCATCCCAATTCCAAATGTTAGGATATTTTTCATTTAGATCTTGACTTGGAAAGACTTTCATGAGGGATGAGCAGTCACACACACCCAAATCCAGAGTATGGTTAGCATAGCTCTTTTATCATACAAGCAGTTTCACTCTACAAAGGCAGCAGACATTCAAGAAGCCTGCTTAGGACCTTCAAATGTGTTAAAGCAGTGGGAAAGGGATGCCGTCCTGCACAAATGTCCCATGCAGCCCTATCCATCTCCACCTACAGACCTGTTTCCTGTCATTACTAATACTTGTTTTCTGAGGAAGAAATGTCTAAAATCTTATATCACTCACTGCTTTCAGGGCATTTTGGGCTCGGGGCTGGCACTGAAGGTCCAAGAGCAACATCGTCAAAAACATTTTGAGAAAAGAAGAAAGCCAGCAGCTGAACTCATTCAGGTTTGTAATCACTTAAAGCCTTGTGTAAAAAGTGTTGTATACAAAGATTGCTACATCATGTTAACAAGGACCACTGCTTACTTCCCCCCTGCCTAAATTCTGATTTCTCATTGCAGGAAGTGAGAGGCTGTGTTTATAAATGTGTCAAGTTTTTTTCACATTGAGCTAGATAATCCAGTAGCCCTTGCAGTTTTGGAGGAATCCTTCATTTCACAGCATATCTTTCAGAAGAACAATATTTTTAGAAGAAAGGGTCTCATCTTCTAGCTTCTGGAAACCAACCAACTTGTGCATCAGTGCCACAAATCCACAGAAAACAAGCTGTGGGAAAAATAATTCTTTCCAAAACCCAGGTTTTGTCAGTTGCCTTGAGTGAGAGCTCTTCATAGAATCATAAAATGGTTTGGGTTGGAAGGGACCTGGAAGGTCATCTAGTTCCAGCCCTCCTGCAAAGGCAGGGACAGCTTCCACTAGAGCAGGTTGCACAAAGCCCTGTCTAACCTTTTATGTGCAAAGTCATGTTTTTATTGATGTGAAAACAGCAATAGAAATAACACAAGAGACAATGATATTTTGAATCAAGGCAAATGATGTAAACAGTATCTGTAGTTTTTAAAACCTGAAGCACACCCTGAATCTCCTGTTATGTCACTGGATTATGAGAATATTCAAAAGGAAGAGACTTCTTAACTCACTTGGACATCAGTTATGGCCTTTGTTGAAAATTCAGAAAATTAAGTTTAAAATTACTAGTCTGGGGGCTGACAAATTTGACAGGAGTTACTCTTAGTAGGTGTGGAAAACACCCTAATGGCAGTAAAGTAAATGACATTATTTCCAGGGAGACAGAGAAAGTTTTTGTGGTATCAGATGGAAGTGTTGGTGCTTAGGGCTGCTCAGGATCAAACCAGTTCTCAGGAGAAACAGTCTTAAGTGGCATACTATGCTGTTCTCATTAAAAACACTCTTTAGCAAACAGAAGGAGCTGCAGGCATGAGTGGTGAATTGAATTCGCCTTTTAAATTAAAGTATCTGCACTTAGCAGGTAGCTAATTTAGCTACAGTATTTTTTAGGTGTGTGCTTAGAGAATTTTAATTGGAGCTCTGATGATCCACTAGATGCTAAACTAGCTTAAGCACTTCCAGAACTACAGGGCAAATCCAGCAGTGCTTGAAGCTCTTTTAGACAATTTAGACAGAAGAATAAAACCAGTTTAGTCAAATGTAATGTCTTGTTGATGTGAGTGGTTCTCTCTCATATCCTTTTGGTGGTTTTCTCTCATGTTCTGTCTCTTTTAACAGCTCTCCTAGATCACAGTAACCCAGTGTCAATAATTTTGCTGTATAGTGAGACTCATTAGGCATGGCTGATTAGTAATTAATTTCCAGATAGTGACTCAGGTGCATTGTTATGTTCTTTGAAACAATATTCCTGTTATCAGCCTGGGGAATAGCTTTACCTAATTATTTCCTCTTCCTTGTATTTCAGGCTGCTTGGAGATACTATGCTACTAACCCCAACAGGATTGATCTAGTTGCTACCTGGAGGTTTTATGAATCAATTGTATCATTTCCATTTTTCAGGTAAGTGCATTGTCCATCTCTCCCTCATAATTATGAAGTCAGGACAGGAAACATAGACTTTATAAGAAGCTTTTGTAGGTAACAGAGTTGCCTGTTAATTTAATGGCTGAGACAGAAAAGCACGGGTTTTGGCTTCTGGATCCATTTCTTCTGCCTTCCCCTGGTAGGATATATTAAAGGCACACAGGTACCTCCCTCAATGGCTGTCATGCTGCCATTAAACAAAAGAGAAGGCTGCCTCACCATCAACTTTGAAAGACTGGAGTTTATTGCCCTGAAAGTCTAAATTTCTTTATTTTTGATCCTGATAAAGTTTTAGCCTTGTATTTCAGAACTGTGCTGTTCACAGAGGTGGCCATAGGATGTGAACATGATTAGTGCTTGTTAAAAGCTCATCTTTTGGCAACGCCTATTGCTCCAGGGGATAATTCAGTGGAGAACAGCCAATGCATGTTTAAAACTGTCTGCCACTGAAACTCTTAACTGAAGGTTCACAAGGAGACTCTTTGAGGAAATTGGGGCATAATTTTATGTTAATCACCACTTCTGAGTTCTGTGGCAGACATTCCTTACATAAAGGCACTTAATGGACACCCATATGTCTGTCTGATCATCACTATTCTTGCCCATCTAACAGGCATGTTCCTCCTCTTCAATTCTTAACATTTTATAGTGTTGGCCCTATGACAACGAAGAGTTTTAGTTATATACTACCAGCTGTTAATAACAGACATTACTTATCCAAGTTTATGCTTTAAACTTTCATTCTGGATTTGCTGTAATGCCTCATTCTGATGAAAAGTGCCCTTAAATTACTGCTCAGCTCAAACAGAGGTTTCCACACAAAAGCTGTGCTCACTGCAACTCCAGATGTTGCTTGAACCTGACTCGAAGACACATTCCAGGCTTCATCTTTCACAAAGGGCAAATTACAAATACTAACTCCTTTGTTTTATTCACAATACATTACTTCAGAATTGATTTTAGTTTAGTTTAAAAGGAAATGTCACAGAAAAACACCACAAGTGTTTAGTTAAGGCTCGGTACAATACTTTCCTTTTCTTTATCCCTTCTCACTCTCTGCTCCCATGTTATCCATTACAGAGTAATTTCTAGAGGGTTTCTTGACCTCCAGTTTTGTTCAGAGACTAATTCTCCGGCTTGCCTAGAGTCTAGACTCATTACAGTGAACAAGCTTGAAGTCATGATACACAGTTTCTTCTGTGATTCAAATGCAACCTGAAATTCAATAAGTGTTTTGCAAATGAAGTCCTGGGAGAGAGGGCAGGGGCGCTCACTTCTCACCAAAAGCTAGATTGCCTGTTCTAGCAGCACAGATTGGTTTCAGGTACCTATATCACTTTCTTTGTTTTATGGCTAGCTGGAAAAGGAGCTTTTATTCTGCTGTCAGTTACAGTCACAGAACAAAAGAGGGATAAGCCATTAGCACTAGTTTCAAAATTTCTGTTTTAAAAAATTCTGCTGAATTTGTTATGCAATTCTTCTCTCCTTGCTTTCTTGTGATGCTTCCTCTCTTCTATAAAAGGAAAGAGCAATTGGATGGCACTGCCAGGTATGTAACTGCCATTATTATAGCCTTGTTTTAATGCAGTTATTAGAGGATGCAGGATAAATGTTTCTTTGTGGATTCATGACCTGTTAACCAAAACGTGCTACTAACACCACAGGTAGTCATTTGAAAGTATTAACCAATTCATTTCCTAATTGCTTGCTTTTTTTTCCTATTTAACAACACATCTAAAATGCTAATTGTACCAAATGTAGTTTTGCTTGCTGGTTGTATGTAAACAGCTTTATTGTCAGTTATGATTGATCATGGTCTAGATTTCTCCTGATCCATGCCTTGGCTTAGCATTCAGGTTGTTCTGGGGTGAATTTAAAGTTCTGTTTCATGTTATTACTCAACAGTTCTGCACAGAGCAATGTTGCAGTGTAAAGGATCAAGTCTGTGTTGATTCACCATGTGCAAATATTTCTTTATGATAAACATGAAGGTGAATGACGAAGATGGATCAGCAGGATAGTCAATCACTCTGACAGTACTAAAAAAGCTGCATTAGGTTTCAGGCCTTGGTCCTATCCCTGCTGAGACAGATGGGAAAGTTCCCATCACTTTGGGGAATTTACAAACAAACAGAATGAAGGAATTTTCTATCCTAATGCTCCTCAGTCACTAAAGATTACAGCAGAATGGTCACCCTGCAAGATCTCAAGTGGAAATTATGTATTTATCATGCTCTCCAGCTAAGTTGCAGTTTCAAAAACACATAAAGTACTTCAGCCTCTTAGGTAAAAAAATGTTAAATACTCAAAACTAAACTGCTATCAGTGGGTCACCCACAATGAAGGACAATAGCAATTAAAGGATAAATAGTTTCATAGACTCTGCTGAAGCTATTTCCTTTTGCATGTCTATTTACAGTGTAGAGGGAAAGGCATGAGAATTGTAGCAACATTTGAAAGGTTTTGGTCAGAGGTCAGGCCTGGATTCCAGTACCTGGCCTGATGAAAAGTTATCTTTTTGGTTTTTAAACACATGACAGCTGCAATATAGAAAGCTGGAAACAGATTGACACTTGCTGTTCTCCTATGATTTATGGGTGTTCAAACCTCCTTTAACTGAAAAGAAAAACCTGTCACAAGTTTTCTTATCATCCAGGCAAGTGGCGTAGTACTGAATTGTTGGGAAGAGATTACTTCCTCCTACTGCCACTGCCGTCATGAGCTAACCTGCTCCTCTTCAAAGACTGCCAGGGTGGGAGTTACCTAGTTTGTGAATCCACATGAACCTTAAGTGCTATACAAGCATGGCACTGCACAGGCTAAGCAATCATGAGCAAGCTCAGTGGCATTAACAAGGCATCTGGAAATTTTAGCCACCTCCAGCATTGGTAGCAGGTGAATTTTGGCCTTGAACATGTAGGAAAGAGCAGAAATCCTTTTATTGTAACTCCATACCTTGAGCCAAAGCATGTCCTGACTCAGATGCAGCAGCAGATTAAAATTAGGAAAGTGAATGATTGCTGCAGTTTGCTGTCAGTCACAGACCCCCTAGAAAAGCTCCTGCACCTGCAGTGAGAGAAGAGTTCATGGAGAAGCTTCTGAGTTACTGCATCTTGCAGGCCAGTAGAAGTCATCATTTTATGTTGAAACACTGGATTAAAAACTGAAAAGAATGACTTCCAGCTCAAAATCTTTCAAACTGTAATCCCAAGGCTCCTCATTCTAGATAGATATGTCTTTTATGTTGTTACATAAGTAACAATAAACCCTCAGCAAACCTGCATTGTAGTGTTCCTGTTAGCAGGAA